CTACCCACATTATAGAGGGTAATTTCCTTTACTCAGAGTCAACTGTTCGTAGATGTTAATCACATTTACAAAATACCTTGACAGAAACGTATAGTGTTTGACCATACAATCGGCACCATTGCCTGGTTGGAAAGAGATTTAGTAATTCAATGATATATTCACATTTCAGTGGTAACAGTTGAAACCTGGCTGAGCATGATATTTCTAGAGAAAGGAGAGAAGGGTTTAAGAATGAAGTCCTGAGGCTTATGTACAGAAGGAGAGCTGTCAGGGAAAAGGTCACAGAAAAGGAGACTATGGAGTGCCTACAACTCAAGATACACATATTTGTTATTTTTCTCTATAAACTGATCCAATTTAACATCCAAGACAGAATGATGTCATTTAAAGCATGTCTGTAGTAATTGCCAAATAGAGTAAATTTTAGCTTGTATATTAGTACGTATTCCCTAACTTTATTCTTTTTTAGTCTTTTGATTGTGGGGATCATATGCTATGTCATACCTAGATTAAATCATTTTCCTAATAATAGTAAGCAGGACCTTAATGTCTACAAATGATAGGTTGTGATTTTGCTTTTTTCTTACCAGAATAATTACCATTGGGAAAGGACCTCACAAGAAAAATGAATGAATCACTTTATTTATGATTCCTATTTAATTATCTTTGCTAAACTATTTGAAAAGATCACAGTGACTTTTTAAAAAAAATGTTGTGTCTATCCAGAATTTTGCATGGGAAAACTTTCTAATATAAAAGTAAATTTTTTAAAAATTTCTTTTTATGTCAAAACTACTTTAGCAGTTTATCAGTAGCACTTATTTGATAACATATTTATATGTATGTTGTTTTTGTTGATACTCTGGGGGAAATAAAGAAATAGAGAATAGAAGTTAGTTGATCTGAGTTTATATTCTGACAGGAGAGACATGTATATATATATGGACATTTGCAAATGCTATATTTCTACTGTTGGAGAGTAAACTCTTTTCTTACAGTTATATATTGGCTAATTAGATCTGCTGCTTTAAATAGAGGAACCCCCACTCCCCCTTCACACACCCACACACTTGATTTTACAGACTCTTCTGTATTTTAAAATGGTGAATATAATTTGAACTTTTTTTTTTTGAAAGACTCAGGACTGTCATTGTTTTGTGTGAGTTTTGGGTTCCTGGACTGTGTAAATTTTCTGTTATGCTTTGACTTCTCACAAGCTTTTTTTTAAAAGGATGTTTTTATTGACTTTTTAGAGAGGGAAGGAGAGATAGAAACATTAATTTGAGAAAGAAACATCTATTGGCTGCCTCTTGCATGCCCCCTACTGGAGATCAAACCCACAACCCAGGCATGTTCTCTGATCGGTGATGGAACCATGACCTCTCAGTCTGTAGGATGATGCTCAATCACTGAGCCACAGCAGTTAGGCTTCTTACAAGCTTTTTCATTTTTTATTTTTTCTTGACGTTAATGGATGAGAAAAATAGAAAAGTAGATGTTTTGAAATCTCCCTGGCTGGTTTGGCTCAACTGTTAGAGTGTCAGCCTGCAGACCGAAAGGTCATGGGTTCAATCCTGGTCAAGGGCACATACCTGAGTTGCAGGTTTGATCCTGAGCCTCAGTCAGGGTCATGGGGGAGGGAACCAATAAATGTGTCTCTCTCTCATCAATGTTTTTCTCTTTCTCCCCCACTCACTCTCTAAAAATCAATGGGGAAAGATCCTCAAATGAGGATTAACAAAATAAAAAAATAAAAATAAAATAATGGTTATGGGGAGGAGGAGGCCATTGGAGGAGTTGCCAACCCACTGGTCCCTTTCTGGTCTACAGGAAGGTATTGGTGGCCAGGCCACATGGGTTGGGGTGGGGATGATGAGCATCTGCTGTTGGGGTTGGAGAGTCTTCACCTGAGAATTTCTTGGGTATGGTTAGGTGTGAATTCCAATGGAGTAGCCTTAAAAAGTCAAGCAGTCTCCTCAGCAGTAGCCCTGGACACCAAGGATGGCCAGCCACTCATCTTGTGGAAACAGGCCCATTGGGTGGAGTAGAGGTTGTGCCCTTTTATTCTCTGGCAATAAACTGGTCTTTGGAGATCACTAAAATTATAGTGGATAAAAATTTTGGACAGGTGTCAATTTTAAGGTACCGGCACCATTGGAACCATAAAAATAAGCTGAAGGTTGTTAAGAAGTAGATGTGCCCTTTGCAAACTGGGCATGTCATCACTTGGTGTACAGGAATAAAGATTTTGAACACAATATGGCATACCTCTGTGACTCTTTACATGAAAAGCAAGGCATAATACAAGAATCTTTTGAAGCTGATAAAGAAAATGTATTCCACATGACCAAAGATACCTCAGTTCCACGATTCCTGTCATTTTGCCGGCCACTCAAGCAGGCTTTGAGAAGCCACAGCCATTGACAGTGATGTGTTGGACCTTTTCAACACCACCTCTAACTCTTTCATAAGAGTCGTCTTTTGTAGGGCAAGAACATTTTTTCAGTTCCGGATTCCAGGGTGCAGGCATCCCTTCTGAAAGGATGTGGTCCAGTTGTAGTGAGTGAAATGATATCTTTCACTTTGCCTCAACTCTCCCAGACAGGGAGGGAATGTCATTTTCTTTGTTAGAACCCCAGGATCAAGAGAATTGGAGCCCATTAAAAAGAAAAAGAAAGAGATGGAGAGCTTAATCTGAACCTGCAATTGTTTCTTGTATACCAGTATAGAAACACCCAAAGTTTATGTGTCCATGAAGCCAGACGAGATGGAATGCTCATGTGCATTATCTGTCAGGAGTAGCTTCATGACTGTGTGAGATTGCAGTCCTGGAGTGCTTTTATTGTCTGACTGTAGAATCACCATGTGTGTTACCATTGCAGCCTAGGCGTTTTCTGAGAGCTGACATAATCAATATCGTCAGAATATTCCTGCTTTCCAGTTGCCCGTGACTAACATCCCATCCTGATTTCTCTTATGCCACAACTGCTGTGCAGTTTTATTCAATGAATTTGTCATACTAGTGAACAGATGATGTTCAAGAACTAAATGTTGCCCTGGCCAGTTTTGCTCAGTAGTTAGGGCGCCGGCCTGCAGTCCAGAGAGACCGGGTTTGATTCCTACTAAGGGCATGTACCTTGGTTGTTAGTTTTTCCTAGGCCCTGGTTGGGTCATGCAGAAGGGAGCCATTTGATGTGTTCCTTTCACGTCGATGTTTCTCTCTTTCTCTTCTTCTCTCTCCTTCCCACTCTATCTGAACAAAAAATGAAAAAATGTCCTCGGATGAGGATTAAAAAAAAAACACTAAATGTCAGGGGAGCCACAGAAATGACTTTGGAGTTTAGAAGGTCAAAGACAGGGTGTTTAAAAAACTACCACTATAAACATTTTAAGGGCATTTTTACAGTTTGCCTCTCAAGGAAAACTGAGATCTTTATATTAGGTACTCTGGTATGACTTTTCTTTTAGAGTTTCTTGTGAGTGAGACCCTTTCTAGTGGCCTGGGAGGCTCTGTAAGTCACATCCTGTTTTCATAGTAAGTTATTACCATATCTTACATAGGGCTCTAGTGGGTATGTTTTTGATCATAGCTGCAGAACAAGGGCACAGAGGGCCAGGAGGCTCTGGGCATGAGGCATCCCCTTTGCTGGTTACTTGGGTCTTGGCTTGATGTATCACCACAGTTGAGAGCTCCTGCTTCCCTTGCTTTTCCACAGCTACAAGCCCCTCTCTTCTGTGTGTCTCCCACATTATTTTATTCCTTCCCTGCTTTCCAGTGACTGATGCCTTTGAGGCCATAAGTCATGGGGGCAGGCATGGCAGGCCAAGGTTTGGGGGGGATGTGTGTGTAGTGAAGTGTAGGGTATCTGTCCCACTGTGTTCTTGTCTTACTCACACATGAATCTGGAGCAGGACCTTCTGGCTAAGACCCTGGAGAGCACATAAATGGTGCATGAGGGACCTGTACCAGCTGCTGGGATGCTGGAAGCTATCATTCTGTATGGCCATTGCTTCCTCTAGTCCTTGCCCTTGTTCTTTCCTTCTGTGTTAGGTTTGCTGTGTCATCTAGAGTAATACTAGACATTTTATTTTTGAATATGAAAATTTTCTTTTGTTGAAGTGTCTTCACGTTTGTTAGTAAAACTTACAACTTTTTGTTTCTCAGGAAAACAATTTTCAACTATTATCTTACTCATGATTCAAACTGAGAAGCAGAACTCTATTTGTAGAAGAAAGTCTTTTTTGCGTTCTAGTAAACAAGCTGTGTTTATTTTTAAAAATTCTATTTAAAGAAAGAATAAAAATACTGAGTAAAAGCATGCTCTCCTGATTGAAATAAACAAATTTTAGTGAGTGGACTTCAGGATTTATTTTGGTTTTTAAGTTTTTTTCTAAAATCTCATTGTTTGATTAAAATTGCTATGTAAACTACTACTTTGTTGATGCTCATCCAGTAACATTGGTGCTACTGTCTCATTTTTTACATGGCTATGAATATGTTTATAATAAAATATACATATAACAAATAAGGAAGAAAATAAAATAAAAAATGCAGGTATATGAATATAAATGACTGGAGTTTGTAGTGATGGGAGAGCTATGGGAATATATTACTGATGATTGCAGTCTCTATTTTATGTCAAGAAGGGATTTGCATTTTGGGGGAAGAAATAAATCAGTAGGTGACAGATTAAAGTATATACTAGACAATATATAATATGGGTAATAGTGTTGAAAGTTTCTGGTAAGTGACCTGCTGTAATTATAAAACTGCAGTGCTAGCTTCCCCAGTGGAAAGTAAAGGGCAATTTCAGGGGAGGTTGTCAGCTTCCATATTTCTAGTGGTATAAAAAAATTTTAATTTGAATAAAAGGGGGAAAGTCATAATATTACCCTATTATCCTATTTGTATAGTTAGTATGTATCACAGTATTTATTACGTGAAAGCCAGAAATTAAATAGATTTCTTGATTTTTATGTTTATTTTCTCTTCCACCTAGAAAGAGTTTGCATCAAGGAGGAAATAATCCAGGAAAAGGAAGAATAAGCAGATCAAGATGTGTAGCTCTGTGGCTGCCAAATTGTGGTTTTTGACAGATCGCCGAATCAGGGAAGACTATCCCCAAAAAGAGATCTTACGAGCATTAAAGGCCAAGTGTTGTGAGGAGGAGCTGGACTTTAGGGCCGTGGTGATGGATGAGGTAGTGCTGACAATCGAGCAGGGAAACCTGGGTAAGTCTGTACTAAGTCATTTTTTGGATTTTTACTTAGAATATGGTGACTGCTTGTTTCAGGAATAATGAGGACAAAGTCATCTTTAATAGCCTTAGTATACTAAGTCTTATCTTAAAATCTAGTATATTTTCTGAAGAAATGGAAATGCTAATATTTAAACCTCTTATTGTATTATTTAGGAAATAGGAGGGAAATTAAGGATAACCTACTAGTGTTCTGTCATTACTGTCTTCTAGTTTTAAAATACCTTATAATCGATGTGGGGTCCTTGTAATAAATTAATCAAAATCCATGTGTGATTCTTACTTTTTAAAAAAATTCCTGTGGTTTTCTTTATTGATTTAAGAGAGAGAGAGAGGGGAAGGAAGAAGGAGAGAGAGAAACATTGATGAGAGAGAACATCATTTGGCTGCCTCCTACATGCCCCCCACTGGGGTTTTGGCCCACAACCTGGGTATGTGCCCTGACTGGGAATTGAACTGGTGACCTCTTAGTGCATGGGTCAACACTCAGCCACAGAGCCACACTGGTCAGGCTTCTTTTAAAAAAATTTTTTTTTCATTGAGTTTTTTTGAGAGAAACATTGATGTGAAAGTAAAACACTGATTGACTGTCTACACACACACACACACACACACACACACAGTAAAACACTGATTGGCTGTCTACACACACACACACACATACACACGCACACACACCCCCTAAACACACACACCCTTCCCCCCCAAGGATTGAATCAGAAACCCTTCAGCACACTGGAGGACACCCAACCAATTGAGCCACACTGGCCAGGGCTCTTTTTTCTTTATAAAATACTTTATACATATGGTATAAAATACTAATACAGTTTTTTTTTTTCTTAAGTGTACAAGTGTCCTACTATTTGACTCAGTTGGTGATAAGCATTCCTAGTATTTTATATTTGATTAAAGATTACAGGGGAAGATATCTTGGAAATTTACAGAAATTCTGTAGGACTAACTTTTAGGAATCTTTACATCTTTGCTTTGGAAAGTTATGACTTGTTACAGCTAAATCGGTCATTTCTGTTAGGGAGCATTATATGGTGGCATGTAAGTGGCATTTTAAAATTAATTTTCAGAAATTACTTTATGGTTTAGTGATAGTATTGGGTAAGGATGTAAGAAAAACAAACACATTTTAGATCATTTACTTCCCTTGTTACTGGAATGATAATGAGGCCATGTATTTTAATTTCCTCATCAATGAAATGGAGAGAGATGGTTATTGTGCAAATTAGTAATATGCAAAGTGTAAATCTGTTGTAGGCTAATTTCATTGATAGGCTAGTTCATAGATCCAGAATCTTGCCTGATTAATAACATGATACCATAGATTTAAATAAATGGAATCTCTTAGGAAACATTTAGTCTCTATTTTCTGCCCTCTTAACATTTTATTTTCATTTTCAGTACCTTTGTCTATAACTACCTTGGGAATGTTTCTGAATTGTTTCACTTGAGGGCAGTATTTATTTTCAATCCAGTTCTTTCTTTTAATACATGTGCCTGCATCTAACACATTTATTGTCACATATATTAGTACATATCTCCTAGGATATTTTTTTTATTTCTGTAAAAAAAAAATCATAGGGATTTGCTAGGCATTGCAATGAATCTGTAGATTGCTTTGGGTCCAATTCATGAGTATGAACATTATTTATTTTAAAATTTATTTTAGCAGTGCTTTGTAGTTTTCATTGTACAGGTCTTTCACCTCCTTGACTAAGTTAATTCCCAAGTATTTTATTCTTTTTAATGCTATTGTAAATGAAATTGTTTTTGTAATTTATTTTTAGAGTGTTCATTGTTCGTGTATAGAATGCAACCAATTTTTGTGTGTTAATGTTTTATCCGTTTTGCTGAATTTATTTATTAGTTCTAACAGGTCTTTTTTGTGTGTGTGGAGTCTTTATTGTTTTCTTCATATATGATCATATCTGCAAAAAGAGAAAAGTTTGTTTCCTTCTTCCTTTCTGATTTGGTGCCTTTTATTTCTTCTTCTTGCCTAATTGCTCTGGCAAGATCATCCAATAGTACGTTAGATGGAAGTGGTGAAAGCAAGCATCCTTGCCTTGTTTTCGTTTTTCTTTTCTCCTCTCCTCCCCCTCCCCTTCCCCTTCCCCTCTCCTCAATGTGAGAGAGACAGGTCAATTGGTTGCCTCCTGCACGATTTGTACTGGGGCTCAGGATTGAACCCACGTACATGCCCTTGACTGGGAATTGAGCCCTTGACCCTTAGATCTGAGGGCCAACACTCTAACCACTGAGCCAAACCTGCCAGGGTTTGATCTCTTTTTAAAAATTGTAACGGCTTGATATTTCTTTATTATACAAATGACACAAACAGTACCAAAATACAAAGATTGAAACAAATACAGTCTGAAAATTTGCCATCCATAAACTGATACAAATTCAGATTTCAATAAATAATAATTGAGATGGTGCTGGATGATTTAGCTGTGAACAAGATAGTCAGAGTCTTAATCTAATGGAGCTTAACTTTCTAGTTTCTCTATCTTTGTTTCCCATCTGTAAAAGGGGATAATGGATGACAGTGATGATCAAGAGTTATTACGTGCTTATTATGTGCCAGGCACTTTCTCACAACTCTAAAAATGAACTACTATTACTATTCCTATTTAAAAAACTTTTTTTTTTTTCTTTATTGATTTCGGAGAGAGAGAAACATCAATGAGAGAGAACCTCCAATGATTGGCCACCTCCTGCATGTCTCCCACTAGGGATTTGGCCAACAACCTGGGCATGTACCCTGACTGGGAATTGAATTGGTGACCTCTTGGTGTATGGGTCGATGCTCAACCACTGAGACACACCAGCCGGACACTATTTCTATTTTATGGATGAGGAACCTGAGGCAGAGAGAGGTTAAGTAACTTGCCTGAGGTTATACAGTGGATAAGTGTTGGAGCTATGGTTTTGAATCATATGTGGGGGCATTGTTACATATCAGAGAGGATCTTGTAAAGATCTGCTCACTTTCTGTTTTGGTCTTTGCTATTTCCTCATATTATCTTTTGCTATTTGCCATCTAAATGAAACATTTAAGGGGAAAATCTTAATCTCCTACTTTATCTATAGTTTTCTTCATAATGTTCAGTATTCAAGGAGTTTGATGTAGTCTCCCCATTTGTTGAAGAGGGATATTTTGATAGGAGCCACAAAGTATATCTTATTAGGAAACTTCTAAACAGATAGGAGAGGCATATATATTCTTTTTAAAAATTTACTTATTATTGTCAGTATTTTAGATGTCCCCCATTTTCCCCACCTTTGCCCCTCTCCACCCAGCCCCTGCCCTACCCCAGGCCTTCGCCACACTATTGTCTGTGTCCATGGGCTATGCATATATATTCTTTGCTTAATCTCTTCCTGTCCTTCCCACCTCCCTTGACTTTGAGATCTGTTAGTCTGTTCGATGCACTCATGCCTCTGAACCTATTTTGTTTGTCAGTTTATTTTGTTCCTTAGGTTCCACATATAAGTGAGATCATGTGATATTTGTCTTTCTCTCTCTGGCTTATTTTGCTTAGCATAATAATCTCCAAGTCCATCCATGCCATCCCAAAGGGTAAGAGATCCTTTTTAATAGCCACGTAGTATTCCTTTATGTATATGTATCACAGCTTTTTTATCCACTAATCTACTGATGGGCATTTGGGCTGTTTCTCGACCTTAGCTATTGTAAACAACACTACTATGAACATAGGGGTGCATATATTCTTTCTGATTGGTGCTTCAGGATTCTTAGGATATATACCCAGAAGGGGGATTGCTGAGTCAAACAGCAGTTTCATTTTTAATTTTTTGAGGAAACTCCATACTGTTTTTCACAGTGGCTGCACCAGTCTGCATTCCCACCAACAGTGTGTTAGTTTCTCCACATTCTCGCCAGCCCTTGTTGTTTGTTGATTTATTGTTGGTAGCTATTCTGGTAGGTGTGAAGTGATACGTCATTGTAATTTTAATTTGCATCTCTCTGATGATTAGTGACGTTGAGCATTGTTTCTTATGTTTGTTGGCCATCTCTATGTCCTCTTTGGAGAAGTGTCTTTTGCCCATTTTTTAATTGGAATATTTGTCTTCCTTTTGTTGTATGAGTTCTTTGTATATTTTGGAAATTCACCCCTTATCAGATCTATCCTTGGCAAACGGGTTCTCCCGTACTGTGGGTTTCCTTTTCACTTTGTTGATGGTTTCTTTTGCTGTGCAGAAGCCCTTTAGTTTGATGTAGTCCTGTTAGTTTATTTTTTCCTTTCTTTCTCTTGCCCTGGGAGAAGTATTGGCGAAAATACTGCTACATGAGATGTTTGAAATTTTACTGTCTATGTTTTCTTCTAGGATTTTTATGGTTTCATTACTTATATTTATGTTCTTTATCCATTTTAAGTTTATTCTTGTGTATGGTATAAGTTGGTGGTCTAGTTTCATTTTTTTGCATGTACTTGTCCAGTTTTCCCAGCGCCATTTATTGAAGAAACTATCTACTCCATTGTATGCTCTTGCCTCCTTTGTCAAATATTAATTGACCATAATGATGTGGGTCCATTTATGGGTTTTCTGTTCTGTTCCATTAGTCTGTATGCATTTTCTTGTGCCAGTATACCAGACTCTTGATTGCAATGACTGTAGTATAGTTTGATATCCAGTATTGTGAAATATCTTTTTTTTTTTTAGATAGAGTGGAGGGGTGGGATAGGGAAAGAGAAATATCGATGTGAGCCGAACCAGTCGGTGCAATATCCAGTATTGTGATTCCCTCCACCTTTGTTTTTCTTTCTCTAGATTTCTTAGGCTATTTGGGATCTTTTTTGGTTTCCATATACATTTTTTGGAATATTTGTTCTAGATCTGTGAAATAATACACTGTTGGTATTTTAATAGGGATTGCGTTGAATCTGTAGATTGCTTTGGGGTGTAGGGACATTTTAATGATGTTAATTCTTCCATTCT